TCACACTGAGAAAGACAGGGGAAGAAAAGTGATAACCTCTGCTCTGCCATCCACTCCATATGCCAGAAAATGGCTACATTTATGACCTTCTGCATCTCTATTGTTCTGCTGACTGTCTTTTATAGCCAGAACTTGCACAGCTAACACACGTACATGAAAGCACATGCATGCAAACACACATAAAAAGGTATAAATCTAAAAATGTTTAGTTAAATAGTATTTTCAACATGCTGCACAAACACATGCATGTATCTGCATGTTTAAAAGAATGAAATGCAATACTGTTTTAGGATGAAAAAATCATGAGGAATGTCATTAAAGGAGAAAAGTGAGGCTTTTACAGAGAAAAAGTTTTAAAGACTTTATCAGTGTGGTCAGTTAAACTATGAATGGTGATTAGTGCAGTAGACCTTAGTCAGGTTAATAGTCGGAGAGGAAAACAAGGCTGTGAGGGATAGACGTAGAGTCTTTACAATGGCATGGACTCTATAAAGGTCCAAGATCACGTCATTTTCACAACTTTTAAAACTGTTGCACAGAGTTTTTGTCTACTGAAAGTAACAATCGGATTGCTAAACAACAGTAAAATTCATTGAACGCACTGTGCTTCCATCCCTCACAGCCTCGTTTTCATTCCCGTAAAGAATTTAATGTGGCGCTACCCACTAAGGTCTACATAGGTATAAAAAAAAAATGAAAGAAAAGAAATTCAGGTTTTTGGGGATATATTATATTTTGGTTTAAAATTGTTTTAAAAAACACCAATTTGATTTTAATATTGTATGCACTTTATTTTCTAATATTTAAATTAAGATTAAAATATTTCATGGCATAACTAAAATGCAATAAAGAATAAAACAATCAAGCCAAATTTTGTATAGTTTTTCACTAAATAAATGGAAAACATGGAAAATAAATATTTAATCATAATCAGGAAATGTCTCCTTTTTATTCCCAAATTACAACCTCCACAAACATAGTGTAATTTATTCTCTTTAACAAATTTAAGATCTTTTATCACCTTAAATTTTTAAACGTGACTGTAATACATTTAAGGACACCCTGGAAGCGGTCACGAACACACACTGATCACGAAGTGGGCCGGAGGTTTGTGTCACATTCAGATGTGGGTAGCCTCGATACTGACAGAGAGGACACAGTATTGGTCCCGGAGGGGCTTCAGTGATGGGTGGTGGGAGATAGAGATCTTTGAAAGAGAGGCGGAGAGAGCACGAGTGTTTGCCTTTGGACCTGAGCATGTAGATGCCCACCCGCACGCTCTGCCACAGCCCCTGGCTCTTGTCGCTTTGTATCAATCTGCATCCCCTTGATAAAAATAGTGCTTAAAATAGAGGCCCACAGCAACAAGCAACATCGTGACCAACGACCCTTGACCCTTATGCCTGGGAATGGCCTTTATCTAGCAGGATCTTTTTACATCTTTACACTCTCATTAATCTAAATCAATTTTTTTTTTTAAATCCTCTTTAAAACTATCACAGAGTTGGCATGAAAAATTTCAGATGTTTGAACAATATAAGCCACAAACAAAAAATAAACAGAAAAAAACACATGGGCACATTTCTTACCAAACCAATGGAAGTCTAAAATCAAAATACAGAGGCTAAAGTCATTACAATGTCCCTTTATGTGTGCAACCTATTTGTTAGTTTGTTATTAATGGATGGACTTATTCCTTACAGTAATACTGTTAAAGCCTGATGGATTTTTTTCTCACTGGTTTCCCCACTAGAAGTTGAGCAGAGTAAGCATGGATACACAAGAGACTTGTAAACACCAATAGCCACTTCAGATACAATTGCCCAGATTTAACCCTGTAAAGCCTGACTTACAAAACAATATACAGAGAAATCTTCTTCTTCTTCTTTTTTAATGGATCAGCTTATTGAACCTTTAGACAAAATATTAAAATAATAATAATAATAAGTTTGCATATGTGTTTTTTTTTTTTTTTCGTATTTGATCCGTTAGGCTTTTATGGCCCATATAACATCAGTGATAATGTGGCGTTGCCATTTACACTCAAAGAGGAGAAAAATAATACACTTTAATTTTAAAATGAACAAAAATATGCTATTGTTGTTAAACAAATCAATGAAATTTTATAACAGTATAACAGACTACTTGTATAAAATGCATATAAAATCAGTTGTTACTCTTGCCCAAAAATATGAACATTTGCAATACTATGTTTGAGAGATGTACAAATACATATTCCTCAAAAAGTTATTTGTACATGTAATTTATAAGATTTAATAGCAAAAAGGGCATGTCTAGCACAGACATTTTTAGTTATACTAAAAGGCCTTTTACCTGCTTGGCTACAAAAAAGTATGACCTATCAATCAGAGGGCAGAAGGCATGTTGTAGATTGTGTACAACAGGTTTTTCAGCAAAGATTATGTTGATATTTTGGAGACCTTAGAAATTCATGTATCAAATATGCGACGGTAGGCTATATAGTGTTAAGCATTAACACACTTTTATACAGACCTACATGCATACACAGTTCATTGAACAAACACACCATACAATATGTTTGTAGGCCTCAGCATATTGATATGATGCCTTTATAGACCACTGTTTTAACCCTTATTAACATTCCCAAGTGAAAAGAAAAGATAGCTAGCATCCAACAGTTCTTTACCTGGATCCGGACAAGCACCTGTGACTTCAGTCTCCAGTAAAGTAGTACATTGGCGGCTACTGTCCTCTAGTGGTGAGTTTAGGTTTTAAAATCAACTGGATTGTTTTCATGTTGCTACACAGGACGTGTGCAATAAAATAAGACGTGTTTAAAACATGATCCCCCGGTTTCACAGACAAAGCTTAAGCCTAGTCTCAGACTAAAATGAATGTTTGAGCTGTTTTAACTGAAAGCGACATGCACTGACACATCTTAACAGGGTTCTCAAGTCTCACGCATTGGCCGTGAGACACACGCAATTCAACCAGTTCACACGCTCACACGCCACACCGTGTATATCTCACGCTGAAAAGGCAAGCCTGCCAGCTTTATATATAACGTTGTATACGAGGCGCATGCACACAAGTTTCCTGCCGCCAGCGCGTCCGCATCTCGGCCAGATTGCGTTCGTTACTAGGCAACTTATAGACGCGCGAAGTCCGCGAACACACACGGAAGTTCGGCCACCGCGACATCGCGCGAACACACGTCGTGATGGAGAAAGTAAGTTGGAAGAAAGCTCGCCTAACATTTTTAGACTAGAACATTTAATATATAGCCCATCGTATACATTATTGATGCAGTCAAAAACTCTACAACTGCTTTGCAACCAGGCCAAAAGCTTTGGCTCAGTTTGGCTAAGGAAATGTTATTGGGTATGGGAAGGAATGAAGATGTATTTCTTCAGTTTATTTTAAATTCTATATTATACTGTATTAATAGTATTTCTAGTTACATTAAGGCTAAAGCAGAGTGCTCTGGGTAATATTGTATATCCTGTCAAAACATACATTAGCCTAATCATTGCCATTGCATTTGTATTTTTCAAAGATGTCAGGGAAAAATGCAAAAACATTGTTTTTCCAAACATTTTGGAGCAATTTGTTATATATTTGTAGCCTAATTTTGAAATATAACATTAAAGAGTAGGCCTATATTTGATGTGATGAATTGCTCTGTCATTTATCAGATTTACCAATTGTTATAATTTAAATTTTTGCTGGTTAATTATGAACATTGGGTAAAATTGGGGGCGGGGATAGGCGGGGGCGGGGCTCCATTTAGGCTCCTCCCCTAACCGCATGTGATCTCACTCCAAGCTTTTGATAAAACTTGAGAACCCTGTCTTAAAATAGGGTTGCCAACTGTCCCGTATTAGCCGAGCCTACGTGTCCTCCCTTGTCCAGTTTACTGACTGCTCTGCACTGATCCAGAGCCTGCACTGATCTAACCACTGACTGATACAACACGAACACGACACTTGAGAATGATCACGACATCTGTCATCATCCAATCACACGCATCAGACCATATAACAAAGTGAGAATTAATCATTCTTTTGGGACAAATCAGTTTGATTTGTGAACAGAATCCTCTACCGTCACTTTCTCTGAAAGTGGGCAAATCAGTTTTGGCGAATGCAAACAATGTGATTATTGTTTGAGTCCAACATCCAGCCACGCAAGAAAACTTGCAATCTATCTGAGGGAATAATATGCTGATGTGATTTTGCTGCTCAAGAAACATTTCTGATTATTATTAATGTTGAAAACAGTTTTTTTCTTTTCAGGATTTTTTGATGAATAGAAAGTTCAAAAGAAATTTATCTGAAATAGAAAGCTTTTCATTAAAAATGGCTTTACTGTCACTTTGATTCATTTAATGCATCCTTGCTGAATAAAAGTAGGCCATTACTTTCTCTAATTTATTTTCAAAAAAAAAAAAAATCTTATTGACCTCAAACTTTTGAAATGTAGTATCTAATGTAAAAAAAGCTTTCTATTTCAGATAAATGCTATTATTTTTTGTATGATTCTTTTTAGAATTAAATTATAGGTTACACAAAACAAATGTGTTTATGTCTGAGAACCTTTTATACACACACTTAACTGCAGACACACTGAAATATATGTGATACACATAATATTTTGAGTGTCCCTCATTTTCATCTGAAGTTGGCAACCCTATCTTAAAATATGCCAGTGCCATTGTATTGTCTCAAGATGCACACCAGTAGCCTAATGGCTTTTATAAGGCACGTTTATAAAAGCTACTTAAATGAAACTGGGCCGATGCGTTTAAAGTGAGCATTTAAAATACGATTTTTCACACGGATGCCTAGTTCGCGGCCCTCACTTATGAATACCAACCTAAACCTAATCTATGTCAAAAAAGCAAATATTACATGTTAATAATGAAATAGTTCGCAAATTCTTTCGCTTTGAAAAGTATGTGTATCGATGCTTCATTTGAAAGCTAGTGTACCGCATTTGTGTCTGGCATTCTGTGCGGGCATCCCTCCTCACTACCAGGACCCCAGCCAGGCAGGATGGCGGCGCCCAAACAAATCGCCGGGGAGTTTGAAAACTGGTTGAACGAGCGGTTAGACTCCCTTGAAGTAGACCGAGAAGTTTACGGAGCATATATTCTCGGAGTGCTTCAGGAAGAGGAAAATGATGAAGAGCAGAAGGATGCTCTTCAGGGCATTCTCTCCGCTTTTCTGGTCAGTGCACGCGCATGACACTTGCACGCTTAACTCAGCTGTCAAGATCTTTCACACGAGTGCCTCTGCTGTATTGTTACGATAAACTCATCATAAACCCGAAATACGCTCGTATATTGTAAAATGAAAATTGTATTGGTTTATTTGAATAATTAAAGCGTGAAAATTGATCAAACGCTTGTTGCCATTCCCCGGTATTAAGTAGTAAAAAAATAACACAAGTAACTTAATTTCAAAACTATATTTGGATGTGGGTTTACTTAAGGTCTGTGCATAGATCTGTGTTATGGTGGAAAGTCAGTGTAACTATTAAAATAGTCTTTTGCATGAACGTTTTACACTTACATTGGTAAACAGAGGTCACTTTATTCTCACAGGAAGAAGACACACTTGAGGAGGTTTGCCAGCAGATCCTAAAACAGTGGACTGAGTGTAGCATCAGATCTGCAGCGAAGAATCAGGCAGAGGGTAAGAGCTGACATTAGAAAAGTTGAATCACATTGGCCCCATATAGCAGCTTATAACTGCAAGTGTGGTGCATTTGTGTCTACATGCTACATATATAACCTCAATTGCATACATTTAAAAAAAAAAGATATTAATACTTTTATTCGGCAAGGACACATTAAATTGAGCAGACGTGATAATAAAGACATTTATAATATTAAACATTTTTATATTTTAAATGCATGCTGTTCTTTTTAACTCTATTCATCAAATAATCCCGGAAAAATGCATCAAAAAGCTGCACAGCTGTTTTAAATTTTAAGTATCAAATCACATTAGAATGATTTCTGAACAAGATTTCTGAGCTGTGGTGTGGCAACTTTCTCTTCTTTTTTGCAATTTTTTGTGGCTGAGCACACTCATTGAGCTTTTTGCCGGTTGAATCTTTGTATAATATTTTTTTGTTGTCATTCTTTTCATAATACCATCTATATTATTTTACAATACAAAATAATAGTGATGCAAACTGTTTGGAAAAAAAGTTGTCTCGTTTTTTCTAATTTCAGATGAGGTTCAGGCCATTGCCAGTCTGATAGAGAAGCAGGCACAGATTGTAGTCAAACAGAAGGTGTCGTCAGAGGCATCCAAGAAGGGGAAAGAGGCTCTACTGGCTCAGTATGCTAATGTAACAGATGAGGAAGAATATCCTTTCAATACATATCTGTTGTATTCTGTACTTGTTTCTATGATTTCCATGACATCCCGTTGAGAACAAATCATCACTTAATCTCTCTCAAGCTCACGGTTCAGCTGATCCAGTGTGAAGCAGTTTCCTTAACATTTGTACTGAAGATGAGGAGGAACAAGTCGTGATGGGAATACCCATTGAAAAATGTATCCTTTGTAATAAAAACAATCACTCTAGGAGAAGATCTCTCCTCTGGTCATGTTCAAAGTGTATAGTGTATATATACCTTGTATATCTTGATAACGCTTAAAGTACTTGTTTAGTCTCCAGTACTGTTGAAGGAACAGCTGCAGTATGTCCATTATTTAGACTAAATATCTGCATCATGAACTGTTCCCTTCACTGCCAGCTCCAGCCCTGTTCAAAAACACCAATGTCGAGGATGTTTTAAACCGCCGCAAACAGCAGCGTGACGAAGCCAGAGAGGACGCACAGAAGAAGAAAGAACAGGACAAGATGCAACGCGAGAAAGACAAGCTGGTCAAGCAGGAGCGCAAGGACAAAGAGAAGAAACGCACTCAGAAGGGAGAGCGCAAGAGATAGAGAGGAAATAGAAAAACTTTTGCAGACTATAATGCCAAGGTCATTTACCTAGAAGAGAAAAAACATTGAGACCTCAGCAGACACTGTCCCAACTAACAATGTATGCATCCATATCTGATTTTGGGTCTGATATTGTTTATTGAAAGATAATGTTAGGGCTAATGAGCTGTTTTCTTGGTTTGTACAAAACTAATCGCAAACTAAGTGAGAATTGTATCGTTACCCATTCATTTATTACAGGTGCTGGCTGCTGTGCTACTTATTTAAGGGTAAATTGCACAAAACTGTCAAAAACATGTTCAGGTCACATTTTAACCCTATAATCTACTAGATTTGACTAATTTGTTCCATCTTTCTAAAGGGTTAGTTCACCCAAAAATTTAAATTCTGTCATCAATTACTCACCCTTCATGTCGTTCCAAACCCGTAAGACTTTCGTTCATATTTGGAACACAAATTAAGATCTTTTTGATGCAATCTGAGACATTTCTGTCCCTCCATTGACATTTACAAAAATGACACTTTGATGCTTCAAAATTTTCATAAAGACATCGTAAAACTAATCCATTTGAATCTGAAGTGACTCGGTCGCTTTATATGATGAACAGCTTGAATTTAGGATTTTATTCACATATAAACATTGATCAGGGAAAATAAACAGAAGATCAACTGAGATTAGAATTTCTGAACAACCATGTGACACTGAAGACAGTGTCACATGATTGAGAACAAACCTCTTGCTGAAGCTCAAACGTGCTGTGTAACACGAGAATGAATTGATTCTCGCATGTCAAGTGAACATGCTTGAGCGTCCGTTTACCACAACTGATGTGTGAGTTGATGAATGTTTATATGCGATTCCTAAATTCAATGTTCATTATATAAAGCGATTGAGTCACTTCAAATTCATATGGATTTGTTTTACGATCTCTTTATGAACTTTTTGAATCGTCAAAGTGGTAGTTGTGTCAGTGGAACACTTTGTCAATGGAGGGACAGAAATGTCTCAGATTTCATCAAAAAGATCTTCATTTGTGTTGCGAAGATGAAAAAAAGTCTTACAGGTTTGGAATGACATGAGGGCGAGTAATTGATGACAGAATTTTCATTTTGGGTGAACTAACCCTTTAAAGGGATGCTCCACTTTTTTTGGAAATAGGCTTATTTTACAACTCCCCCAGAGGTAAACTGTTGAGTTTTACCGTTTTTGAATCCATTCAGCCGATCTCCGGTTCTGGCGGTACCACTTTTAGCATAGCTTAGCATACATCATTGAAGTGGACAAGACCATTAGCATTTCTAAAAGAAAAATGACCAAAGAGTTTCGATATTTTTCCTATTTAAAACTTGACTCTTCTGTAGTTACATCGTGCACTAAGACCGACGGAAAATGTAAAGTTGCGATTTTCTAGGCTGATATGGCTAGGAACTATACTCTCATTCCTGCGTAGTAATCAATAAACTTTACTGCCGTACCATGAGTGCAGCAGGCGTAATGATATGACGCAGCGCCTGAAAATAGTCCCCAGCTTGGTAACTTTCAACGTGACCGGGACTAAGTGCCTCCGCCTGCTGCACTCATGGTACGGCAGTAAAGTTTCTTGATTACTACGCAGGAATGAGAGTATAGTTCCTAGCCATATCAGCCTAGAAAATAGAAAATCGCAACTTTACATTTTCCGTCGGTCTTAGTGCACGGTGTAACTACAGAAGAGTCAAGTTTTAAATAGGAAAAATATCGAAACTCTTTGGTCATTTTTTTTTGAGAAATGCTAATGGTCTTGTCCACTTCAATGATGTATGCTAAGCTATGCTAAAAGTGGTACCGCCAGAACCGGAGATCGGCTGAATGGATTCAAAAACGGTAAAACTCAACAGTTTAACTCTGGGGGAGTTGTAAAATGAGCCTATTTCCAAAAAAAGTGGAGTATCCCTTTAAGGTAATCATGTGCACAACATAATTCATTCTCCCATTTTACTAAATTGTGGCCACATTGTAATAATTTGTTCCTTTATAAAAAAAACATTTAAAAAAATATATATATACATCTATGTATGCGTGTATATGTGTGTATATATATATATTTTTTTTTTATGAAGGGTGAAAAGTGACCTGTACTTGTTTCCATGAGATTCACTCTTTAACCTTTACCAGCAGATAACCAAAATGCTTGTGTCTAAAAACAGTATAATTCCTCTTCTTATTGCCTCGGGGGACTTTCAAATAACCTGTGAACCTGTTTTATATGTTTTCCATATGCTGCTTCTTAGTAGCACTCCAGTGATTTTTAACACAAAGTTACTCAAGACACAAAAATATATCTCTGTTTATTCAGCTCGCAAGCTTTTTCAGAACAACCTGAAACCAACTGAAGCCTTCTTGTCATGTAGCAATATATGGAGAGGGCTCAGAGACAACCCAAAGACGGAGAAACATTACTGCCAATGAATAGGAGAGGGGGACTTTTGGTTTGGTGGATGTTTCTGTCTCAGTTGTGGTTTATTTTTATTGTAGGACAGTGAACCTAAGAGATGATCCTAATGCAAGAAGGGCATGTTTATGCATTTATATCAGTTGACAACTGTTAATTTGAAGCTGCTACATATTGTGCCAACACCTTGTAGACTGCCCTTTCGGATACTACAATGGCCTGCACTGTAAACAAACTGATATCTTTAAACCTTTGTCTGTTAGCTTGAAAGATCATGTGATTTGAGAATTCTTTTATCAGAGCAACAATATTAAAAATTTTGTACACTAAAATATTCCAAAATTAGTACAATAAATTGAGCTGTGTAAATGAACGTGTTCACTCTTGACTAATGTGACCAGTTAACTTGAGTCACAGAGAATGTAGTTCGACCTTTTTATATTATACACTTGGTGTCATATGTAGGTTTTACAAATGGGACTTTTTAAATGGGATGTTGCAAGGCCAATGGTAGATGCTTTTTTTATCCACAGATTCGATTTGTCCAAAAGGAACATCAGAAGCTTTAGTTTGTATTCTCTGGGTATCACTGCTCATTGCTTGAAAGCTGTTAAAATTTCTCGATGAATCTTCTATTTATGCAATAAGAGCTCTAACTCTTGAATACTGATGACTGATAAAACTGTTGTACAATCTGTTCTCATCTATCCAAACACTGCTTTGCTTACCTCATATGTTTGTCTTTAAATCAATACAATTTAAATGTTGTTAAGGTCAAATCTGTTTCTTGACCATATTCAGGGGTCAAAACTTTAATGACGTCCAAATGATTTTATGATGGAAACCACCTAGTGAGGTACACTCTTCAGTAATGTTTATTCTGTTCAGTCAAAGCTGCCTGATTTAAGGAAAAATATATATTTGCCTAGGATTTTCAGAACTGAATGAGAGAAAGGGACACTTGTTTACAAATGGTTTTCATTATTTAGCCAACCAGCTGTTTTTGGTGAGTTGATAGCGACACTGTTTTAAAACGTACATTATACCAAGTGAACAGAAATTCAGAAAAATATACCAGCTTTACTGGATTATTTTACAAGTGGTTTCATTTTATAACGACAGGGATCTGCTTTTTTAATTAGGTCAACATTAATTGATTAACATTGTATTTTGGATCAATGTTTAATTAAATAAACAGTAGTTTTACGCACCAGTCTTTGAGTTCTGGGACTTCACTGCTGTGTTATTTTAATTGTTAAACTTGAACAAAAGCAAGGGCAATGAAACAAAACAGTACAAGCACACGTCATATGAACAATGTCAGTCTAACATTTGCCAGTAACAGGTTGTTCACATCATTTATTTCAGTCTATGAATGATGTTACTCTCAGCAACTCAATATATCCTCAAATGAGTTACATTGCAGACAGATTGACCACATACACATACTGAAAAATAGTGACTGATATCTTGAGTTCAATTCAGAATTTAGATAAATTGCAAATAAATAAAATCACGTTCAGATTTTCCGAAAACAAAAGACAGATTTAGAAGAGAATTAAGATTATCATTGCTTATTCAGTGAGACCACTAAAAACCAAGTGCTGACATCAAGAAGATCATGCACAAATAAATAAGTAAATAATAACAGGAAAACTAGAACACGTCCTGCTGTTCATAAATACTGTTTTTGATTTTGTGAATGTGTATCAGCGGACCTAAAATTAGCTGAGTATTTTGTATAGGTTGTAGGAGACACTAATTAAACTGACAAGTTAACACTTTTTTGTTTCCTATGTAACTATTTATACATTTCTGTCAACTGGGCAAAAATATCCCATTATCCTCCAAAGCCACAGACCTTACTCTTGCTGCGCATTCTGTACCATTATCACCATTAGCCAGTTAAAAGGTCCTTCTGATTTCATCTCTCTTTCTTTGACAGTTGTTCAATCAAACTTTCATACTCTCTCAAAACGCCTTGTTTTTACTGGCAGCTCCTCTGGGGTCCTCGGACAAATAGCTCAATATTGATCTTACTGCCATAATTCCATGTATTTTGGAGAATTTGATTATAATCTGATTGGTGGTTTTCACAGAAGACTGATAAATATTAATGAACTAAGAATTCCATCTGCTGCCCACAACTGAGCCTAATGTATCACTATAGTGGAATAACTTAAATAACTCATTCATTCCTCTAAAAATGCAATCCTATCACCTCTTATGCCTTTTTGTACAGGTTAGATCGATGTTACTTTGTGTCGGAAACGCACATACACACAAAGACTGTATACCTGCCAGAAAGTGATCACAGGGTAGTCAGTACTCTCTCCAAGCTGCTCTGCTCAGGACTGTCTGGGCCAAAAGGGGAGCAGGCACCTTTCACGTGTCTCTCCTCTAGGTAACTGCTTGTTTTAGGCAAAGTCATTTGTAATGCACACCAGAGAGCAGTTCGGGCCTTTCTGGTGCTGCTGCACATGTCCTTCACTGCAGAAGCCAGCAGAAGTATCTCTGTGAGATTTGAAATACAAAATAAATAGTGTGATAAGGAAGTTAAGGAAGAGTGTGTGTTGAATCTACTCTGGGTCAAAAACATCATCAGCAAATACTGCAAATGAACTGAACATAATACTTTATAATATAATTGTGCGTTCACACCGCCACCGGCGACAGCGTCAAAATTCGCTCTGGCTGCCCTGTCAACAACGGCGTAGAAAGATTGGTGGACGCTCTGACGTAGATCAAATGCTTAGTCTTTTTTTTTTACTTTATTTAAAGGGGCCGCAAAGCAAACAAGTATGTTGATCGTTATTTGTGCAGACTGACCACAAGTAGGGTGTAAGTTAACCTTATGAAATCCTTTAAATATCCTGTAAGAAATTGATGATGGAAAGAACTTAACCATTATAGTGACATGTTTGCTAACGAAATAAACCAATTAAAAGCCATTTGTGTGGTGTGGCTTTTGTGTTCATGGTTACGTGCTAGTCTAATTTGCATTCCCACTGAAAAACAAGTGTTC